TCACCATTGTGACATGCTAAAAGTACTAAACTGGCTGTTGCTGGAATCCAGACGCACCCTTCATCTTTCCAGCCTTGTGTTTAAGAGCTTTTCTGGGAAACTCCCACCCTACCTGAACACAATGCTTTCCCCAGCTGTTCCCACTTCCTATAACCTCCGATCCAGTACCAACACTTTACTTAGTCTACCTCAATACAAAAAGAAAGCGGCCCGATCCTCCTTCTCCTACAGAGCACTGCAATTGTGGAACGACCTCCCGCAATTTAAAATTTTTCCCTAAGCCTAAAGTCCTTTAAGAGATCCCTCTCTCCATACCTCAAAACAGAATACACCTGTCATGGTTGATTATATATTTCCTGCCTGTTTTATGTTAAATTTTGTATTTATTGTGTATTAATATTGTTTTTGTATTTTATTGTACCATAATTGTAACAATGCAATGATTTGTGGACCCAGGACATACTTGAAAACGAGAGATATCTCAATGTATCTTTTCTAGTAAAATAATTTATAAATAAATAAAATAAATAAATAAATAAATATACATACATACAGACATACATTCATTCATAATGACATACATACGGCCACTGCGCTGACCGGGCCCCTGAAGATATAGGGCCCATCGGGTGGCCCTAAGTGCGTGGGCCACTCAATAGGCCCCATCAGCATGCGGGCCCCGGTGCAACTGCACCGGCAGCAGTTCCGCCGCTACACGTGGGGCCTGGGCTCCTCAGGGCTGCCTGGCCCGTGACAACCATCATGGTTGTCACCCCCTGATGGCGGCCCTGTGCACAAGTGAACCAGCACACGCGTGCACATGGTCACCAATTTTATTAAAGGACACGGAGGCTCTTATTAGGCTTTATCTCTTTCTTTATTCCTCAGCAGCAAAGAAAGGATATTGATATTTTTTAATATAGCAATAACAAAAAGAAAAAACAGATACCCTTAAGGGTTAACCATATAACATTCCATATCCATTAACCAATAGGATCAGTCCTTGTACTATATCCCTTCATGTGAGGTAAACTACTCCCTCTTTCTTTGCTGCTGCCTCAGCTAAGTACCACATATTTTTCAGCTCCTCAAATATTGTGTTGTTTAGATTCATATTACTATTTATTTATTTATTTCTTTGGTATATCTGCTGTTTTTGTTTGTGTCTATTATTTTTCATTTGTTTGTGTATTTTACTGAGGTTTGCTTTTCCTCCTGTTCCCAGTGCAGGGTGCTTGCCTCCTCCCTGAGGCAAGCCCCATCCTGCACTGCCGTTTTTCGGGTTGTTTATAACCCGTTCCTCCTTTCACTTCCCCGGGTGAGGGTCGCTCAGGCATCCCCTCCCCTCCCCCCCCTCACCCCCTCCGGCCCAGAACGAGCCGTTTTTACTGTGGCGGCCGTTTCCGCCGCTCGCGCATGCGCGGTCTACACTCGCGCATCGCGGCGGCCATCTTAACTGAGGGCAATTTTGCCGCTCTTTTCGCCCGCGGTCCGCGCCACTCTGACAGGGAGGGGCGCGAGCTGATTGGGTGAGGGAAGTGTTGGGCAGCTTTCCAGTGTCCCCCAGGAGTCATTCCTGAGGGAACACTCGGTAAGCTGCCATATTATATGTGCCAGAATACTTGTGCCTTGTAGAACTGTGCCTGCCTTTACTTTTAGTCTAGTGCTCAGCCACTTACCTTATACTGCCGGTATATTAACCTCTGCAGTGCTGCCAGTGTGCATTTGGTCCAAAAGTGACTGTTTTATTTCAGTACCTTTCTCCCTATACTACTACTGTGCACATTCCTGATCACTATGCAGTCCCCTGCTGATAAGCAGACAGTTACCCCCCCTCCCACCTCTACTAAACCCAGCAAACGTGATAAGACAGCCATGTCTACAGACGCTGCTGTCATTGAGGGAGTTGGGGACGCATCCCAGGAGCACGTGAACTCAGAGGAGTTCCAGGCGCTCCTGGATGCCACGATGAGTAGGTCTGTCACACAGGCCATTTTTACTGCCATGGGGGCGATGTCGGACACCCTGTCCCACTCCATTTCCTCTGCTATTAGGGCATCCGGTCACAACCCGGGCTCGGCACCCCCTATATCCAGTGATAGCAAGCCAATGGTCCCTAGCGGCCGCAAGGCTACGTGTAAATCGCACCACCTGTCAGGTGCTACCTCCAGAAATACTAAGACGGACAGGTTGCGCCCTGTTGAGAGTGATGACGTGGTGCTCCCACGTAAAAGAGCCCCCCGCCGGGCAAAAACGGTGCGGAATTGGAAGAGGGCAAAAGCCCTATCTGATCCGTCCGACTCCGACTCGGACTCAGAGGAGGTATCAGATGGGTCCGATGACATCGACCCAATTAATTCTGACAATTCATCCCCCGAACGCAGCGACACCGCGCCTCCAGCTCTAGACGCGGAGCGCGAGACGGATGAGTCCGCTGTGTTAGACCCCCAAGGGGAACCCCTTTTTGATCCCGATACCTTACACAATCCGCGTTCAGCGGAGTGGTATCCCACGACTCATGTGGCCGTTTATATTGCGACTAGGGTCAGAAAACCCCTCGACAAGGCCACAAGAAACAAACTAAGGGCGGAATGCCCAAGGCCCACTGTCCCAGACATGGCCTGCGTGACCCCTGAAGTGGATCCCAAAGTCGCCCAGTTCCTGGGTAAGTCAGGATGGAGGGCCAAGAAGGGTTTGGACTACTCCTTAAAACACTGCCAGGACAAGATCCTGGACATACTCGGGCCTATAGCTAAAATCTTCGATATGGTCGAAGCGGCCCTTACTGGGGGGACCCCAATTGACTTGATGGCCATCAGAGGCTGGATTCAGAGGGGCATATGCCTAATAGGAAATGCCAACACCGCATTGGCCACGGAACGGCGTAAAGCCATATTGTTGAAAATCGAGCCAAAACTAGTGCATTTGGCAATCTCCGAGCCTGGCACACAGGCAAAAGGTCTCTTATTTGGAGACAATTTTGTTAAGACCCTGGGTAATTACGTAAACACATTTACGGCACTAGATAAGGCACAACATAATATGAAGCGAGTGTTCTCGCAAAAGGTTTTCGGGGGGGCCGGCAGACAGCGGGGCCGTCTGTCCGGCCGCCCCTCCCGGACTCAGTTCCGGGGCTATCGAGGCTCCGCCACACCCGGTTCCACCCACCCGAACCGAGGGCACAATCACCATTCTTCCCGACCAGGGGCAGATCATGGCATCCACGCGGAACCAGGGGATCCTCCTATGGCCGTCGGCCTTATGGTGAGTCACTCCACATTACACACCATTCCCTTTGTACCTGTGGGGGGCAGATTGTTTCAATTCCAGGATGCGTGGCACAACCTAACCTCAGATACATGGGTCCTAGAGACCATCCTCGGCTATCACATCGAATTTACACAACAGCCGATTCAACTCTCATTGCCACATCAGATTATTTTTTCCCCACTAGACAAACAGCTAGTGTTAAAAGAGATTCACGCACTGGAGAAAAAATGTGCGATATACAGGGTTCCTATTACCGCCCCCGGGTTCCTAAGCAACATCTTCTTAGTACCCAAGAAAGGTGGGGGCATGAGGCCAGTAATAAACTTGCGGCCTCTCAACGCCTTTGTCACATACCATCACTTCAAGATGGAAGGAATACACTGCCTCCGAGACCTATTAAGACTGGGAGACTGGATGGTAAAATTGGACCTCCAGGATGCATACCTCACACTACCGATTGCCGAGGACTGTCAACAATTCCTGCAATTCCAATGGGACCAGACGATGTGGCGTTTCCGCTGCCTCCCTTTCGGCCTGTCTTCAGCCCCGTGGTGCTTCACCAAGCTGCTGAAACCGGTAGTTGCCCTCCTTCGCAGCAGAGGTGTACGTCTGATCATATACCTCGACGACATGCTGATCATGGCCCAAGACACACAGCTACTGAATCAACACCTATTCTGGACAATAACCCTTTTACAAAACCTAGGTTTCCTAATCAATTGGGACAAATCGATCCTACAACCTTCACACTCGATAGAGTTTTTGGGTTTCGATATAGACGCAGTACACGGAACGCTCAGTCTTCCTACCGCAAAAGTAAAACTTATCAAGAAGGAAATCCGGAGGACGTTGGCTCGACCAGTCTTAACCCTCCGACAGCTAGCCAGGATAATTGGCCTGCTCTCGGCCTCTATACAAGCGATCTTCCCAGGCCCTCTCCACTACAGATCCCTACAACAACTCAAGGCAACCCACCTACGCTTGGGTCACTCCTATTCAGATTCTGTACCTCTAGACTGCGCGGCAAAAGAGGAACTGGCATGGTGGCTTCAACACATGGAAGCATGGAACGGCAAGGCAATCTTCGGCGCCACTCCGGATCTAGTCATAGAATCCGACGCGAGCAGACTGGGATGGGGGGCCCGCTGTGGTCCTACCTCTACAGGTGGAAAATGGTCTTCCGAAGAAAAAGAACTCCACATCAATGGTTTGGAACTCCTGGCTGGGTCATTCGCCCTACGGAGCCTCCTCGGACACACGACCAATTGTTCCATACTCCTACGCATGGACAATGTCTCAGCCGTCCGCTACATCAACCACTTGGGTGGCACGAGGTCCTCAATCCTCACGAACTTGGCGAAAGAATTCTGGCATTTCTGCCTGAGTCGCAGCATATCCGTACAGGCGGAATACCTCCCAGGCCTCTCCAACACCGTAGCGGATTGGCACTCCAGGCATTTACGAGACAACAGTGCATGGCGATTGAATCGCACAGTATTCCAGAAACTCCACCAACTCTGGGGACCGATGCACATCGACCTTTTTGCCTCCCGGCTGAATGCTCAACTCCCCTCATTCTTCAGCTGGAGACCGGACCCAGACGCCACGGCAGTGGATGCCTTCCTACAAAATTGGCCGAACACCAGGCTATACGCCTTCCCCCCTTTCTCACTCATAGCACGGACTCTCCTACACTTACAGCGCTCCCGAGCATCGTTGGTTTTGATAACACCGTTCTGGACGGCACAGCCATGGTTCCCTTCCCTCATGGAAATGTCAATCGACCTCCCCAGATTGATTCCAGGGAGCACGGAATTATTATCAGATCCCGATGGGAACTCTCATCCACTTCTGGTGCAAGGTCATCTCAGACTCCTAACATGGCTCCTCTCCGGGGACCCTGGACCATGCCGAATGTTTCACAAACGACTTTGGAATTATTGGCAGGAGCTTGGGCCCCAGGGACAAGACGTTCCTATGCTCATGCCTGGAACACATGGTGTAGTTGGTGCGTGGAACGGCACGTGGATCCCATACGTGCTCCTATAAACCAGGTTTTGGGCTTCCTTACTACCCTTTATGACAAGGCTTGGCTTATCGCACCATAAATGTGTACAGGTCAGCGATTTCAGCTGGGCACACTGGTTGGGAAGGCTTCCCGGCTGGGAAACACTTATGGATCTGTCGTCTCCTACGAGGCATAAAATTTGCACGTCCGCCACAACCTCGTTACACGGCCCTATGGGATGTGAATATGGTCCTTCGGTTGTTGCAAGATTGGCCCCCAAACTCGAACCTCACACTCAAGCAAGTGTCTGCAAAATTGGCGATGCTCCTATGCTTAATTTCCTGCAAACGGGTATCAGACGTGAGGGCCTTAGATATCGATGCACGATCATTCACACCGGATGGTGTCCTGTTTAATATCACCAGACGTACGAAGTCGAACACCACTTCAGTCTTCTATCCCTCCTTTCCTCACAACGCTAACCTCTGCCCGGTAGCATGCCTGCAGGAATATGAATTACGGACACAGCCATTCCGGAACCCAACAACACATAATTTGTTCTTGGCAGTGAGAAAACCTCATCAACCAGTATCCACGGGAACTCTGACACGTTGGGTGAAATGGATAATGTCAAATGCTAATATCGACACAGCCGTTTACGGGGCACACTCTACTAGAGGCGCTATGGCCTCTAAAGCATTCTACATTGGATGTAAACTGGAAGACCTCCTCCGCACAGCTGACTGGTCCCGAGAATCGACGTTTAAGGAATACTACTTTAGACCAACAGAACATATCTCGTCTAGGGTCATATCACAGCTTTAAACTAGCCTAATAAGAGCCTCCGTGTCCTTTAATAAAATTACCAGATTTTACTAATTACATGACGTAAAGTCATGATTTTATAAAGGACACGGAGGCGAGTATTAGCCCGCCCACTGAAAGGTAAGCCGTACATGTATTTTTTTCCCACCCACTTACTCATAAACAAGCTATAGCATTTTGGATGTTTAGAATCAAAGTTCTAGGGTAAGATTGCGATTTAGACTGATTTATGCTAGAATGTCGCAAGCAATGTTTTCAGATATAAACGTTTGTCTACGGACCGGTACAACATATATGTATGACAACGATATTCGAATACATTTTACCATATATCTCTCTGTCTCCTACAGCTTAACCCTGTGATGACATAACCGGGATCGTCCAATATCTCAACATTATTTGGAACATTCGCCGGAACCCCTAAGAAAGATTATCCAAGTTTGAGAAAATGTTTTTCCCTTGTTGATGTGTTCAGCTTCGGCGTCAGCCAGAAAGAGGAAGTAGTTTACCTCACATGAAGGGATATAGTACAAGGACTGATCCTATTGGTTAATGGATATGGAATGTTATATGGTTAACCCTTAAGGGTATCTGTTTTTCTTTTTTGTTATTGCTATATTAAAAAATATCAATATCCTTTCTTTGCTGCTGAGGAATAAAGAAAGAGATAAAGCCTAATACTCGCCTCCGTGTCCTTTATAAAATCATGACTTTACGTCATGTAATTAGTAAAATCTGGTAATTCTCACTGAGAAGACTGAAAATCTCTTCTGGGGAAAAAAGGGGTGGACTTGCTAAGGCTGCAGTTCATAAGATCTTCAGCCTTTACAAGCTCTTTTAAGATATGCCATCAAGGAATACACGCATGAAAAATTAAAGAATGCATTCATTGGGAATGTATCTTTTAAACCGTGAATTATTTATTTATTTTGCCCATTAGGGCATTGGAGTGTTCCCTATGTCATATAACTGAAATTAATCCCTCTTTACCCTAACTTCTATTATCTTTAACCCTGCATGCATTTACACAAGTGCATACACTCTCGTTTAACTAGATTAAAACAACTTTTATTAACAAAGTAATTTTGATGGTAGAAAGGTTATTAAAAGAAGTAAAGTTTTGCATATATAGAAATTCTTGATTTTCAGATATTACTATTTCAAGAAACAATGTTTAAGAAGATTAATGTTTTGGCAGATAATTACACAAGAAACATATTTTTCAGAAGACGATATATATATAATACATATTGTATTTTACTTAAGTAAATAAACTTAAATAATCAAATACGGGACATAATCCCAAAAGATTTAAAGCTAACAATGTCTGGCTACAGGAATGTCTACTAGGCTGTTTCATTTTCATTTTCAAATCAACAACTTTCTCTGAATATAAATTTACTGCTTCTGGGACAACCACATTCTCTAGTTACAAAGAAGAATGACTCCATGAACCCAATTTCTCCAAATCCAGCAATAACTCATTGATATAAATAAGAGGATATAAAACACTCATAAAACACCTGTGGGTGAAGAGAACAAGGGAACAACAATATTAAACGATTTTAATGAGTTGCATACCACTGATGCAAACCAACATAAAGAAAAATAAAAGTATTGCTAAAATGAGCAAAAACAGAAAGTTAAAATTATGTGCAAATCAGCTGCAAAATCATCTCTTGGACTTTGAAATGGCATACTTTTTTAATGTCCCTAATAATATGGGATTCTTGTTCCAAAGCCGATATAAGATACATGGCTGTGCACGCAGTATTATTTTAGTTCCCCCAACACAATGATCGAATACCTGCACATTAGAGACCAATTTCCTTCCTGAATAGGCAAAATGTAGTTCAAGGGTTTTCTTGTGAATACTGATCGGCCGTTTGAAAGAAAGTTATATCTCCAAAGCGCTGCTGGGACATAAAACCAAGAAAACGTCTAGGCAATGCCCAAACATGTTTGGATGCTTCCAGATTTCCACTCATTGACATTTGTGATTATATTCCTGGCGCAAAAAAAAAAAAAAAAATGTAGAAGAAATTGAATTTTTTAAGGGAGGGTGTAAAAGCAGCTTAGTTTGCCATGATTGACAAGAGGTCTGCCCAATGATGTGGACTGCATGTCCTGTCCAATCAAGAGATGGATAAATAGAGATAGTTGATGATCGGGGAACATTGCTTCCTTGAGCTTCTGGCAAAGATCTCTAATGAGACAGAAAGGTGTATTTTTTATATACACCCCTATATACTTATTAACCCTTAATAGGGAACATATGGGATGGGTGGCAGCATTGTAACAAAGCTGTGTGATACAAAAAGTGACTACAAATACAAAAAGATAAGTCCTGCGTTCACTCCCATCACTTCTGGGGGGCAGCAACGACTACAGTACACATCAGCTCCAATACATATAGTAAACACCAAAGAAAAAGTTACCTGTGCTGTGCCTAACTTTTATTCACTGATTTTTACTTAGTTTTTCTTTAACTGTTTTTATTTATTATTTTTTTTGAGTATGTTTAGCCCTGTTTGTTATGCAAATGTGCAAGCACAGTGCACTGCACCATGTGCTGTGTGCTGTGTAGTGTTTCTTAAAGCCAAACACAAAAAATGTAGGTCAGTTCATTATGTTATGGTCTTACCTTGGGTACAGTCCAAAGTGCAGAGATGTTTGCTCACCAAGCAACATTCTTCTACACAAAATCAATTTTTGCTGAATGAAGTTGTTAGTTTACGCAATACATATTCATATCCTAAATGTATCCTATCCCAGCCTGATATGTTGCTAAGGTTGGACCTCATACACTAATCCTCCCAGACAGTATGCGCTGCCATCAGTGTGCTGCCAAGGAGAGGAAGGCACTTGTCATGGTCTTACCTTGGGTGGAGTCCGAAGTTGCTCACCCTTGCAGATATACACAACCTAAGGTAACCAGGTAAGAAGCCAGGGGAGGGCTGGCAGCCTTAGGCCTGGGGGGCAAAACCAGTCAAGTGGCCCATTGCACCACCAAATCAGTTCACCATCCATGCCCACCTTTTCCTGGTTTTATAACGGATATTGATGTTATGCTAATCAGTAGCTCTTTGCCATAACCGCTCCTTCACGGCTCTGACTTTCAATGTTGTCAGAGCGCAGGCTGAGAATCTCTGAGCCTGTGCTCTGACTCACTCACTGAGCGCCGGAACCACGAGGGAGAGGCTATAATCTGACTGCACCTACTGCTGGTGTGCACCAGTGGACCACCAGCGAATCGTTTAAATTGAATATGCTGGTGTCCCCAACTTGTGAGCTGTGTTGGCCGCCGGGCGACTCTGTTGTCATGGCACCCTGCGTGACCGCACAGCTTGCACATCCCAACGGCTGGCCCTGCTGACACACTCTGGCATCAGAGTAAATACCAATAAACTGTGCAAACAGAGCTGATCCTCCACCCCCCCCACCCCCCCAATTTATAAAGATTTGCTTAGTGGATTTGTTGTAAGATTAAATCATGCCTCCTCCACCTCTCTCTCTCCCATGCGCTGCTCTGTAGGCTGGGAGGAAGTTTAGAGTAATCACATTCTCCCAGCACAGCGCCACCAGTGGCTGCATGGGGAACAGCTGGTTAATGTAATGCTTGCAGGACGGCCAGCTGCCGCAGAACCTCTTTGTTCCCATCTCTGCAAAGGGTTCCAGGCACTGCTTGTTGTGAGTATGAGCCACTGTAAATTAGGGGCAGAGGGCACTTGCACTGAGGTAAAGATGGGTCTGGGCAGGAGGAGAGTGCAGTCAGTGCACTCCCCTCCTGTGGGTCACCAGTAGACTGGTGCACCTGCCCAGAATCAGAGCCGGTGCAAAGATTTTTGCCGCCCTAGACAAAAGAAAAATTTGCTGCC